TAGGGAAAAGGATTCTTCTTCGGGAAGAGGACTTACTACTGGGATCCCTCACCACTAACACCTGATGTAGCTTGCCCTCTGTATCTCTTAAACTGGCAACCATTTAGAGATCCAAAGACAAAAAATACATACATATACACTGAATGGATCTTTCATTAGGTTGCTTAGAAAGTGATCACATACTCTTTATATATTATTGTATTATTCCCATCTAAATTCTAAAGGAGCCATTACTTAATCTAGACATAAGAGCCTGGAACTGACATGTACACACTGCTATATTTAAAGTAGATAACCAATAAGACCTACTGTTAAAAAAATAAACAATAAATTATTTTTTAAAAGAAGCTATTACCAATCCTAGCCATTGAAAGTCTCACCATTCAAACCCCAACTAACTTATTTATTTAACAATCACTATTTTCAGAAGATGTCTTTAGCAAAACCCTGATAACCTGGCGTACGTTTTTTCTTTTAGGGGATGTCAGATAAATGAACTTGCTATGATTTAAAAAGTACGTAACAACCTTTCCCTTTACTGTTTCCCTGTTGGACAAAGTGGGCTTCCCTCATAGCTTAGTCGGTAAAGAATCTGCTTGCAATGCAGGAGACCCAGGTTCTATTCCTAGGTCGGGAAGATCCCCTGAAGAAGAAAATGGCAACCCACTCCGGTATTCTTGCCCAGAGAATCCCATGACAGAGGAGACTACAGGCCATGGGGTCGCAAGAGTTAGACACGACTTAGCGACTAAACTACCATTAAACAAAAAGCATACTGAAGAGCCCCCAACAAAAAGCAGAAACCATTCTATGTTCTTTCATACAGTAGGCCAAATGATAACACCTCATACTGGAGAAGCAAGCTGTCATTAAATACTGCTCTCCAATCATGTTGAGATTAGTTCAAAATATTCCTGAATTAGAAGACAACTCTTGAGTTGTCCAAAGGCCATTTCCCCATTTACAAGGATTAAAAAAAAAAAAAAAGCCCTCTCAAAAAAAACCAAACAAACCCACAAAACTTTCTTTTTAAAGCACTATCTAGTTAAAAATGCAAAAAAGAAAAATAAAATCAATACAGTTATTACTCTGATGTGATGAAGTTTAGACAGCAAGGTAAAACCATAAACAGACAAACTTTAAGTATTCTGAAATCAATGATGATAATACATGTGTCAGGCACATCCAACAGAACACTTTTACAATGGTTTACATTTCCTTTTTATTTATTTCTTGAAACTGCCCGTATTGCAGGTTTCTCATGGATGAAATATGGAACTGAGCAGATTCTTTTTTCTACAAAATCATGGTACAAACTTGCTCAATTTTCTGTCTTATTGCTAACAGACCTCACAGGCGCACAGTTTGTAGAATAAACCCTTAAGGGCTGGATGCGCAGAGCATGCTGCAAGGTACAAGAAAGAAGCTAAAAGTGAGCACTTAAACCTACATCGGGACCAACACAGTACTGAATGCTGGCAGACATTTATCACAACACAGGGAAAAATTAATAAAAGGAAATACAGTTCAGTCCTGAAAGGGTTAAATAGAAACCCTAATATATTATTGTTTCTAACCATCCATCCCACGTTACAGTGCTTGAAAACAAAGTCAAAAGTCTGGCACAGAAAATTACACACATTTGTTCAGTATTCATCAGAAACACAGCTGCTTTTGAAATCAAAAGTAAGTAACTTAGTTAATAACTGAATAACATTTTGATTCAAAGAAGAACCCCACCACCCTCACCCCTGCATGGATTATCTGATTAAACATGAATAGTTTAGTTCTTAAAAACTGTTGACAATTTCCTGTGAGGGCACAGACAGTACTGGTTTCATTAAAAAAAAACAAAAAACAAAACTAACCAGTTATTATCGCAAATAAGTCTGTGCAGTAAGAGTGACAAATATTTTACCAGTTAATACACACATAAGGATATCTTTACTTGTCGTGGTTTAAGAAAAGTCAGCAGCAGATTATACTAGTGTTCAACTCTGAAACCATTCAAAATAAAAAGGGCATTTTATATTTATAGCTTTTTGTTTGCCTTCTCAATCTATGCGATCAATTAAAACAATAGATAAGAGACAGCTTCTATGCATATTTTCAGAAACTGCATAGAATCATAAAAGCACAGGATATACTTCTAATATATGACTTAAAACAAAAAACTTGAACACACTATACTTTAAATGAAGTGGTTACCATTCTGAGAGCCTTTATGAGGGAAAATGATCAGCATCTCTAATAATGCCACCACTGGAGGAAGGGCCACGTTCTACAATACTATAACTGGAGGACGAGGCTCCTGTAAATTATACACTGAAAATAATTGACAAAAACTTTTTTTAAGCAGCTGACAAAAGAACTACTGACAAATGATAAGCCATAACAGACAAATCATTTCAGTTTGTGGTATGTAGAATGGCATAAAACGGTGGCGGGGGGGTGGGGATAGGGGCCTGTAGGAGTATATTCTTAAATCTTAAAAAAGAACCAACAATGAGGAGGAAATGGGTTTACAGTCTAACAGTTCAATTATCTTATTAAAATAAACAGAGCCAAAATTAGACATAGTTAAACAGTAAAAAAGCAAAAGTTCATTTTAATAAAGTCATAAACTTGAAAAAAAATATTTTGAGTTGCAGTGGTGGGGAGGAATAGTTTGTGCTTCAAAAGCATCTTATTTGTTATCAGTTAATTTAATATAAATTGGTAACTAAATAACAAACTTGGGAAGTGGGGGAAACCTGTGGCCCATTTCAGCAGCACTGAAAACATTTCTGCGCTCTGAACAAAAAGCACTGTGTGAAGCCTACTTCCAGACTCAACAGAGAGCAGAATAAATACTACTCAGAAAGAAGCAAGTTTGCAAGAAAAAGCCAGTAAACAGTTAAAACAAAGAAAGATAAGGCCACAAAGAATTCTGCCCTTGGTCACTGAAACAGATTTAAAGTATGAGGCAGGATTAGCTTACAAGAGAAGCTAGTGATGGGAGCAGACTTAAAGATAGAAAGGCTATATATAGCATAATGCAGCCTGTAGTAATTAAAAAGGCTTGCAGTAAAGAAAAGACCACAATAACTTTAACTACGTGTTTTACAAATGACTTCGCCCTTGAAAACTGAGGAAAAAGCGATTTAAAGATGTTAGGAACTATATTTACAATGGCATAGTCAGAGCAAAAGAATGAATAATGAAGATTTATCAAAGCTGTGGGGTGGGAATAGGGGGAAGCTATTCATGATGATGTTTTAAAAAGTCTACTGGTGGAAACTTTTCAAAATAGCCCAGGACACCAAAAAGACAATTTCTGTACGGAAAGATATGCAGGAAGTTACAGTTTTGCATCCTTAAGGTACTTGTGGCTTCTGTTTTATGGGACAGTAAAAGCTTACCACAATCGAGAGGTAGTTTTTACTCGAACAAAGATGATTGTATTACTAGACCATGTCCTGTAACATTACACACACAGTTCCTGTACTAAACGGAATCCAATGAGTCGGCCGCAATTCTAAGAAACTGAACAAAGGTATAACCAAAGTGTGGGAACAAAACCAATGTAAAACAGGTGAGTCCAGCACAGAGAGGCAGCACACAACCCGGAATGCAATCCAATCTTAAATGGAGAAGAAATGCTTTCTGAGTAGGTGACATTTGTGAAGACACTCATGTTGGGGAAAAGAAGACAAAAAACCGGGAGAGAAATGGAAAGATAAATTACATTTGCATTTTTATAATCTTACAACTATCCATTTCTAAAGTATTGTCTTCCAGCTATTTTAGTTGGTCATCTAGTAAAAGCATCCTGTTTCAAGGTTACAGTGATGTTTTGACCTAGGCTACCCCCTCCACCAAAAAAAAAGGTAAATAAAACCACGCTTTTGCTGAGATTTTTCCTCATTATACAATAAGGGCACCATCTACCAGCTGGTAGCAAATACTTAGCATGATATTTTTTTGTTATCATATGCCAACAAGGCAGAAAAACACCCTGCTGAATGAAATCACTGGGAATATTCCAAGTTCAAAATAAAATGTTTAACTTACACATAATACAAGTTATGTACAAGATAAGGAGGGGGAGGAAACCTGAACAAATGTTGACTGAGTAGAAACATTTCTGCACAGGAAAAGGGGAGGGAACACTGTAAAAACCAACATGTTCCATGCCATTAACTCATTAATGACTAAATGGCCACATTTAATTTCAGGTAAATGTTAGAACCTCTTGGATTACCACTATAAATACATTAAAAAAAAAAGTAACACAGAGAAATAACTATCAATGGTATTTGAGAATAGAGACTAAGTACATTGCATGTATTGCAGGCAAGGCAGAGGCATTTTTTTAAAGCTTTTGCACAGACTTCATATAATCTTAAAAGAAATATGAATGCAGGCCTTTACAAGATTTGACTTGCTGAAATCAAAACACCTTCCATTCAAGAAAAGTCATAAGACTTCAGCTTTTAAAAAAATAATAAAATAAAAAGAACAGTTCCAGCCTTGGACCAGAAAGACCTGGAAGAGTATGGTAATTAGATTAAACAAGCATGGTCAGGCTTGGAACCTGAATGTACTTAAGAGCAAAAGCTCAAAGTGGGTGGGGAGGAGAACAACCTATTTGGTAACAAAGATGTATTATATACGTGATATAAAAAAGGTATGGTGAAAATGTACCTTTTACTAAAGCTTATACAAGTTCCTTGGTCCATAAAAACTATGTTAGATTTTTGTCTTCTAGTTTGATTAACTTTTACTTCGGCCACATCTCTATTTCTTGCCCATTTAAACAAAACCAAACAAAAACCAACCAAACAAAAATAACAGCTGAAAAAACTCGATTTCCAGAAGTTTATACATTTAGATGCTTTTTGTTTGTTTTGCTTTACTGTGGCTTCTGCACTTCAAATCAGCACTTGCAGGTAATGGGGTTTTTGAATAGTATAATCTGGTATGAAAAGTTTTCCCAAGAAACCACAAAAGATTGTTCATTTTTTTTCTTTCTTTTTTTTTTTTTTGTCAACATTTTGCCACACTCAAGTCAGTGTAAGTCCTAGCAAAAAGACGGTAGTTAGGACACAACTGTTGCTGTAGATGATGTGACATTGGTTGAATTTGTGCTGACGTTTGTGTAACTTCCCTCGCTGTTTGTGTTTGATTCATTAGGGGGCACTTGGCTTGAGTTGGCTCGAAGGATTGCTCCCGCTGCACTGCAATGTGGCCGTGGCCCTGGTTCTGGTGTATAGGTAAAGGTAAGGCTGGTGGAATAAATGATTCCATCATTACGGACCAAAGTTACTGGAACCTGGACTGGCTGCCGGACCCATCTCCAGCCTTCTCGGAATGCAGAAATGTCTGGGACAACACAGAGCATACTCTCTCCACATCTGAGGAGGAAATAGAAATCACTTAAAAGCATGGCAAATTTTATAACTGCAACTTAAAAACAAGGTTGCTTAATACAGGACAATCAACCTCTTAACACAGGACTCTTGGGAAATAGTCTCATGTACCCACCCCCATCAAAAACTCTGGATGATATAAAAAATTGTATTAAGTACCTGTACATAGTTTCAGCTTCTACATCCCCAAACCACACTCGTAAATTTGGAGTGAAATTCTGTCCTGTTAGTTCAAGCATTGCTACGTCCCCACCGCCATTCAACTGCAATTCACAGAAAATCAAAACAACGTTGAGGAAACATTTCATTTTTCATTAAAGTACACAGATGAGTTTTTCATTCAACTATCATGTGCAAAAAAAAAAAAATTAAAATTATTTCCTTTAAATAACATGATTATAAAGACAAAGTGAACTAAAACTCTCAATATACAAGCTGATTTACACTTAAATTTTCTTGCTAAAATTTTGTGTGTTCCTCTGATTTTCTCCTTCACTGTGTAAAAAACCCTCCAAATCACAGGATTTGAAGAAAAATCAAATTTATTGTGAAGTAAAATTATGCCACATCATAGCTGAGCAGTTGCAAAAAGCTGAAGTCAACTGGTAAGAGGTCTCACCTGAAGACTTTCTACGACAGGCACAGGTGTGACTGGGGCAAGGACAGGGCCCATCCCCTCATAAAATGTATACTCTGCCTTATCCGTACTAATGATTGTCCAGGAAGCTCCATCATTTATCATCTCTTTATTTGGTTCTTTTGGGCATGGAGTGGCCTTAGAAACAAAGAACGGTTATTAATTATATACATTGTGGTATTGTAAGACAATTTTAACAAAGTAACACCCACGAAAAGAATTTAGTACAAATTTATAAACTTCCCAGGCACCATACTTTTCCAACCCCTAATTAAAAATAGAATATTAATATGGAAACCTCACGTAAGGCAGGTTTTATTTCAATATAAATTATTTAAGTGACATACTAAAAATTAATAATACCTTTCAGAATAACCATTTAAGTAAAATTACACCAGTACCTGTATAATTTCTTTAATTTAATAATCTTTAACAAAAGATCTTAATAAAAGATATAATTAGCTGCTTAAAATGCTTCAGAGATCCCTAAGAGAGAGGGGGGCTTCCCTGGTGGCTCAATGGTGTAGAATCCACCCGCCAATGCAGGAGACATGGTTGAATCCCTGGGCTGGGAAGATCCCCTGGAGAAGGAAATGGCAACCCCCTCCAGTATTCTTGCCTCAGAAATCTCATGGACAGAAGAGCCTGGCCGGCTGTGCTCATGGGGTCACAAAGAGTCGAAAACAGCTGAGTGACTAAACAACATCAACAAAACAAAGAGAGAATGGATGTCCCCTCCTACTTAGAGAATTATAGAAACTTCTGTACTTTCAGCAGGAAGGAACCAAGATGTGAACGGCAATCCCCTATTCCTACCTCGAAACACCTAGGCCAGCCCAGTGTTGGGCTGAGGAGACCAGCTGTGTGTGGCCATCTGTCTGGGAAAAGCCTCCAGATGTCCACAAATGAGTTTCATGTGGAAGTGTAACTATTCTATTAAATCATTTGTTCATGTCATAAATGTCCTCATGAAGGCCTTCTGAGTCAACATAGTTAAAAATTAGATTTTGACTAATTAGTTTTTAACATGTCATCATTACTATCTTAGAAGACCCCAATATAAATCTGATGAGAATTATGAATCCTCCTCCAAAATATGCATGGACCACTACATACGGTGTTGTCTGCACATAATTTCAGGTGACTCTCTGAACACCCAACATCTACTTTTGGGTAATCTGAAGAACTTTTCATCCCTCAGAATTAGATGTTAACTGTTTCTCTTAGAACATTCTCATAGTTTTGAGTTCTTTGAGGTAGAATGACTAACATGTCTGAAGAACATGTGGGCTAAGGACCCTTGAAATCAGGATAAATATCTGAACACAGATTCATGTATTTGGATATATTAACATTTTTTAAATGAGAGTTTCATGTTTCTGAATGCTGCTAACCTAACAGTGTGCACATTTTAGATTTTACCAGCAATTTAGAAACATACCTGAAACTGGATTATTCTTTCTTGAGAAAGGCACAAGTACATTCTTTCTGTATCCTTAAGGTAAAACGCACATTTGTGGAGCTGTGACACAGGATCATCGGCATCCAGTAACGCAGTCTGCTTATCAACCTTCCTAATTATCTGCATTTCAACAATTAAAAAAGGAAAGGTCATCACATATGGAGAGTCTTCATTTCCTACACTGTCAAGACTACATGGCAAGAATCTGCCATGAAATAATACATCATAGATACCTGTCACATATCTACATACACAATAGCATGTACAAACAATAAAGTAAGGCATAAAAATACTTTCAAATTGCAAGCATGTTAAGAATGAGGAGGCTAAAAACAATAGGGCAGGCAGGCACTTGCTTTCTAAATCTGTGCTTTTCAAACTTTACAAACAATAAAGTAAGGCATAAAAATACTTTTAAATTGCAAACATGTTAAGAATGAGGAGACTAAAAACAATAGGGCAGGCAGGCACTTGCTTTCTAAATCTGTGCTTTTCAAACTTTGACATCCGTATAAACCATATGGGGTTCCTGTTAAACATACATCTGTTCTGAGCCTGCAAATCAGAGAGGGCCTGAAATTTTGCACTTCTGGCTAATTTCCAGCTGATGTTCATCGTGCTGGTCTATGAATTGTATTTTGAGTAGCAAGTTCAGATGACCTCTCCAATAACACACAATGACAAATATTCTAATATCAAAGGGAAAGTTATCTCTAAAGGCCACTATGGGTATGCTAATTAGTACCTAAGTCCATTATCACACTTACATGCTATTGCTTTGTTTTAACATAAAACAGCCATCATTCTGCAGACTAGGAAACAGGCTCAGAGGTCAGGTTGCTGCTGCTGCTGCTAAGCTGCTTCAGTCGTGTCCAACTCTCTGTGACCCCGCAGACGGAAGACCACCAGGCTCCTCCGTCCCTGGGATTCTCCAGGAAAAAACACTGGAGTGGGTTGCCATTTCCTTCTCCAATGCATGAAAGTGAAAAGTGAAAGTGAAGTCGCTCAGTCGTGTCCGACTCTTAGCGACCCGATGGACTGCAGCCTATCAGGCTCCTCCGTCCATGGGAGTTTCCAGGCAAGAGTCCTGGAGTGGGGTGCCATTGCCTTCTCCGCAGAGGTCAGGTTAAGCTCCTCAAATTCACCCGGTCAGTAGCTGAAGAACCAAAGTATGATTCCAAGGCTGGCTGCCTGCCCAGTTTGAACTCTTCCATTATATAGTATGACCTTACACTACAAATATTCCACAAAACACATAGGATATCTGAAAGATAGTAGTATTCAAACCTTCAGTGTTACTTATCACATGGAAAGTAATCACTCAGTGTTTGAGGGCTGTGAAGATTACTCTCAACAGCATCCAAACATGCTGGAACCACTTCTCATCTTTAATCAGAAATAAAGAAACCCCTTCCTTGGGACTTCACTCGTGGTCTAGTGGTTAAGACTCCGTGCTCCCAAAGCAGGAGGCACGGGTTCGATCCCTAGTTGGGGGGCTGAGATCCTGCACGCCGAGTGGTGTGGCAAATCAATAACCAAAATCTCCAATCACTGACATTAAAAAAAAGAGAAAAACCCTTCCTCGACTACATGCCCTTCTCCTTCCCCCTCACCGCCCCGTTTCCCTGTTCCCCTTTACAGCAGAACTCCTCTTCCTCACCATCCCACTTCTGAAACCGCTCCAACTTTGTTTCAGAGCCGCTCTTGGCGAGGCCCTTAAGGGCTTCAAGACAGACGAATCCCGCGAGCACCGCTCTGTCCTCACCTCGGCTTTCGCAGCGGCATCTGACCCACGCACGCTTCCTGCGGAAGTACACCTGCTCCAACTGCCTTCAGTGCCTCGGGGCGGAGTCCCCAGATCTCTTTCCCTCTTCCCATACTCTACAGACCTTCTGTTCTCTTTAGCGGTTAGTAGTAGCAGTGTTAGTTGCTCAGTTGTGTCCGACTCTTTGCGAGCCCATGGACTGTGGCCCGCCAGGCTCTGCTGTCCATGGGATTCTCCAGGCAAGAATATTGGAGTAGATTGCCATTCCCTTCTCCAGAGGATCTTTCCGACCCAGGGATCGAACCCGGGTCTCCTTCATTGCAGGCAGATTCTTTACCGTCTAAGCTTTAGAGGCTGGCAATTCCTAAACTTTTATCTTCAGCCATAGCCTTTCTCAGGCACTCAACTTGTATATTTAACTACCTATTCAACAGTTCCACTTAAAATGTCTATTAATAGCCATTTCAATCCAAAACATAATTTTTTATTTCTTCCTAAGCTCAATAAATGACACCATGTTCACTCAATCCTAAAACCATGGAGCCATCTTTGACTCCTTACTTTCTCTTATACTCCATCTGTCAACAAATTCCGTTAGGCCCGGGAAATCCCATGGACGGAGGAGCCTGGTGGGCTGCAGTCCACAGGGTCACTAAGAGTCAGACACGGCTGAGCGACTTGACTTTCACTTCTCACTTTCATGCACTGGAGAAGGAAATGGCAACCCACTCCAGTGTTCTTCCCTGGAGAATCCAAGGGACGGGTGAGCCTCATGGGCTGCCGTCTATGGGGTCACACAGAGTCAGACACGACTGAAGTGACTTAGCAGCAGCAACTTTTAAGTAAATCAATCACCTTTCATCACCTTACCAGTACCATCTTGGTCTAAGGTATCATCATCAACTTCTTGCCTGAATTATGACAAAAGCCCAGTCATCTTTCTCTTTGCTTCCACCACTATATCTCCCTGAGCTCTTATTCACAGAGCAGCCAGAATTATCCTTCCAAACATAAACCAGCCATCATTCTCTGTTTGAGAACCTCAAGTGGCCTCCTATTGTACACAGGTTAACAGACAGTTTTACTCTAGACAGAGAGAGGGATTTGACAAGATGTTGCCCATGGCTTACTTGGCAGCATCATTTCCTGGCACTTGCCCTCTCCACTCCTCTCTCAGCTCTAGCTACAGTGGCTTCCTTGCCAGTCCTCATACATTTCTGTCTTCTTTTTGCTCGCATTCTGTCAGCCCGAAACATTCCACAGCCAGTTTCTGTTTCCCAACTTCATTATGGTCTCTGTTCAAACAGCCCCACTTCATAAAGGTTTCTCTGACCACTGTAAGCTCTCCCATTTCCCTATGTATTTATCCTGTTTTAATTTGTCTTGCCACTTATACTAACCTTTAAATAACATTATGTAGACATCTCTTTAGCTGTTTTTTTGTCTATCGCCCTACCAAAACATAAGCTCCAAGAGGAAAGGAAGTCTAACTTGTTCACCAGTGTATCTCCAGCATCTAGACAGTGACTGGTCCGTGAAAGGCTCAGGGTTATTTGTAGAATGCACGTATACATGTAGGACTGTAATACTTTGCTCCACAATGAACATTCTTAATAACTCTCAGAATTTTGGAAGGGTTAAATGAATTGATATTTGTAAAAGTGCTCAGAAGAGTGCTATAAATAGTATGCAGTACTATTGGGTTTTTATTACTTAATTCACACACCTAACTTATATTCCATGATCATTTTTTTCAACTTAAGCCACAACTATTAAAAATCCTAATTTTTAAGTCAACATTCTTCATATTTACATACTTTTAGCTCTGCAGTTTATTTGATTATTTGTCACCCTACTGATATCACCACTAATTTTCGAGTTTAAAGGGAGACAGTACACTTTTAGCAATTATATTTCCTAATATATTCTGTGAAACTAATTAATAAACTCAAGTAAAATGTTTCCATTCAACTCTAGTCTTAAAACTGTATTTAACAATGCTTGAATTTTAAAGAAACAGTGAATTTTGAATGATGTAAGCCTAAAACTTCCTGTAGGTCTACCACACTCATTTATGACTTCACCACATAAGACTCAAGATCTGCCTATAACAGTTTATCCCTGTAACCTACTGTTTCTTCACTACTTAATAATAATGAGTATATTGAGAACATGGGTCACGTTTGGTTCAATTTTATTTCTCACAATAGCTCCCTGGACATAGACACCGCTGAGTGGCCTGGTCTCACCAATAAGCAAACCAAAGACGCCCCCTACTATTTGGTATCAAAAACTTGCTGTGATAATTTCTAATTATTAAGAAGAGGAAAGAAATCTGAGAAGCCAGGTAGCGTGAATGTTATAATGAGCTACGTGCGATGAGAAAGTGATGAACTCTAACACCAGGAGTTACTGCACCCAGCTCTCGCTCCTCTGTGCTGGCTCTGCAGGTTACTGGTACAGTGTTTACTGCACTTCTTAGGTAACTGGGATGCAGCCCGTAAGGACAGAAAACATACCTTATTCATACTCTTAGCACTATACCTTGTAAATGCCCAGGCTAAGTTTATGCTGCTGATTAGTTTATCTAACAGATGTTAGCTGTCCCAAATTTCTGGGGTATCTCACAGACTTGAGAGCATGAGACAAATGCTAACTGATGTTTCTTGTTAGTTGGCTAGATCTACATAGATTGTGCCTGGTTTCAAAGTACCCAAACCAGGGTTTCTCACTAAGACCTTCATCCCGTTGAAATTGGTCTTGGGGGGGACAGTGGTTTCCAAGCAAGGATCTCTAACAAGGCTAATATTCTAGGAAACATAAAATGCAAACTTTAGATATTAAGGCAGTGTTATCCTTCTTAAAAGCATATGAAAACTATAGAATGCTTCCTCTGAAAAACATGTTTTCATTGAAAACTGTATCTAAGTGGATGGACAGGCAGGCAGGAAGTAGTGTAGATAAAGCCTAGCTATGATTCTGAGGAAACTAATGCCTCAATCACGTGATCTCTAGAAAGAAGTATGTACTGTTAACAATGTTAACGATCGTACTGCAACTTTTCCTAAGGCATTCTCTGGATCAGGTTTTTTTTATTTCATTTTTATAATTAGAGCCACACAGTTTTGAATGTAAAAATATTCAATTAAAGATGACTTTCAAGCAAGGCAGACTGGTACTTTACATGGAACTAAGGGAAAACACCATTTTTAGATTTGAGTCAGTCTTTTCAGTGGCCTATATATAAGTTGTTGCTGGTCAGAGACATAAGCCTCTGAATTGTGCCGCCAAAGTACAAGCATTTAATGCCAGAGCAAATAAACACGATCCTTGGAATATAGTGACACAGAATAAATAAGAAGAACACTTTAGTAAAATTTATTCAGTCCCTTTTTTGGTTTGTGTCTTCCTAATTTATGCACCCTTCATTCCCTTTCTCCCTTTTATAATCTATCTTAGGTTCAAGGTTTTGTAAACTTATATTACTATGTTTCACATATTTTGGCTTTAAGTTGAAATGGGAAATAAAATCACCTTGTACAACCACAACACAGAAAAAGATAACAAAAACTACAAGATGATGCATTAACTCAGATAATTATAGATCAACCCAGCTCCCTGCTGAAATAGTCCCAGAAAATATCAGCCAATGAAATATTTCATCAAAGAGATACAAAGCATATTCAGGAAAGTAATACTCAAGTTTTTCCATTCACTCAGCCCCTCCCCCAAGCTGACCTTAATCCAACTTACTAATAAACTCCTTCCATCTTTAATACAACTAAATTGTGTTCTGTTTCAGAAAACGAGGGGGAATATGATGCAGAATGTGTAAGAGGCTTTTGCTTCACTTTGCTAAGAAAAGCAGTTTTTTACTATTTCAAAAAGCCCAAACACTGTCTCTATCTTTTTGCAGGAGAGTAAACTAACAAAAACTATGCTTATATTTTTAAAGAAATTTACAATTTCTATGCTTTTGAAAACTTGGGCCTGTGTTAGGATGCAGCAAGCACCACAAAGAATGAATAATGAACCTACATTAGTTAAGAAAATAAATCATAATGTAACTTTAGAGTGCCCTCTATCGAACATATCCAGATAAACAACCAAAAAAGGGGGGAAAGCTGTCAAAATTTATTATAAACAGTCATGAGGTCATTAAGGCCATACCAATCTTGGGAGTGCCATGCCAGTAACTGAACACACAAGTTTGACTGTTTGTCCATAATGGATGTATCCATCGCGGACTGTGAATTCTTCTCCTTCTGATTCATCATCATCCACTGCAGTACGATGGAAACAGAGATCAAATTATCATCTTTAAAATTTATTAATCTGCTTATAAAAACAAGACTAAATATATCTGTAAGTCTTATTATTTAAAAAAAATTAATTTCACACTAAAAAAACCAAATGCATATTTTTATACTCACGGAGATGAATGTAAAATGCTCCCCACTGCTGAGAACTGGCATGGAAATTACCTCCTTCTACATGCAAGTATCGGGTGCTAACTGTCTGGGATCGGAGTCTATTAAACAGAGCCACCTTTGTTCCTGAGGCAATGCAGACTGCAAAGAAAAAACAGCTATTTACGTGATTGGGGGGGTGGGGGTGGGGTAACAGTAAAGGGCAAGAAGGTGCCAGTACCTGGTAAGTTATGACTATTCTTCACTATAATGTAATAGTTAATGGATTCTGCTAACACTTATTTTAAACCCTCCAAGAAAATACAGATAATACTCCCCCAGAAGTCAGGGTAACTCTTTTATTAATAACGTTAAGCTACAGATATATAATATGCCCATAAAAATGATTTTTAAATGAGTGCTGTATAATATATTTAACACAGTGCTATTTTTTAAAAGGAAGTTACTTTTAAATAGGTGTCGAATAATAGGAAATTGATTAAATAAAATATAACATTATTGACCTAATTGAATAATGTGTATTTAAATGCACTGAAGAGAAAATATCTCCCTGATATATCACTGAATGCAAAGCAGACTATACTGTGGTTTCATTAGGTAAACATATACATTTTTATGTGATAACATATGTCTCCACATGCTCACATATAATCCCATGGAATATATTCAAAAAGAGGGATCTAGAAGGACATTTACCAAAGATGATGGCAATTGCCTCTGGATACTGTGATTTTAGAGATTTTGCTTTCTTCTAAATACCTTAAAGTATAGCATTGCCTGAAATTTCTTGAAAAACCAACCACATCTATGTAAGCAGGAAAAATACTCTATAAATGAAGTATGTTCTTTGCCATCAAAAAACTCAAGAACCAACAGATATACAAAATTAAAGACTTTAAATAAAATCCTGTAATTTGAATTGGCTTAAGACATCTGTGCATGCTCAATCGTGTCTGACTCTTTGCGACCCGTGACTAGAGCCTGCCAGACTTCTCTGTCCAAGGGATTCTCCAGGCAAAAATACTGGAGTGGGGTTGCCTTTTCCTTCTCCAGGGGAATCTCCCTAATCCAGGAATCGAACCCGAGTCTCTCGCATCTCCTGCATTGGCAAGCAGATTATTTAGCTACCTGACTGTGCTGCACAACTGAACTGGAAACAACCTAAATGCATGGCATAAAATGCTTCCTGATGCAAGAATACACAGAGTAACTACACAAAAAAGATCTTCACAACCTAGATAATCATGATGGTGTGATCACTCACCTAGAGCCAGACATCCTGGAATGTGAAGTCAAGTGGGCCTTAGGAAGCATCACTATGAATAAAACTAGTGGAGGTGATGGAATTCCAGTTGCACTATTTCAAATCCTAGAGGATGGTGCTGTGAAAGTGCTGCATTCAATATGCCAGCAAATTTGGAAAATGCAGCAGTGGTCATAGGACCGGAAAAGGTCAGTTTTCATTCCAATCCCAAAGAAAGGCAATGCCAAAGAATGCTCAAACTACCGCACAATTGCACTCATCTCACACGCTAGTAAAGTAATGTTCAAAATTCTCCAAGTCAGGCTTCAACAATATGTGAACCATGAACTTCCAGATGGTCAAGCTGGTTTTAGAAAAGGCAGAATAACCAGAGATCAAATTGCCAACATCTGCTGAATCATCAAAAAAGCAAGAGCATTCCAGAAAAACATCTATTTCTGTTTTACTGACTATGCCAAAGCCTTTGACTATGTGGATCACAACAAACTGTAGAAAAACTAAGATCATGGCACCCGGTCCCATCACTTCATGGCAAACAGAGGGAGAAACAGTGGAAACAGTGGCTGACTTTATTTTTCTGGGCTGTAAAATCACTGCAGATGGTGACTGCAGCCATGAAATTAAAAGACACTTACTCCTTGGAAGAAAGTTATGACCAACCTAGACAGCATATTAAAAAGCAGAGATATTGCTTTGCCAACAAAGGTCTGTCTAGTCAAAGCTATGGTTTTTCCAATAGTCATGTATGGATGTGAGAGTTGGACTATAAAGAAAGCTGGGCACCAAAGAATTGATGCTTTTGAACTGTGGTGTTGGAGAAGACTCTTGAGAGTCCTTTGGACTGCAAGGAGATTCAACCAGTCAATCCTAAAGGAAATCAGTTCTGAATATTCATTGGAAGGACTGATGCTGAAGTTGAAATTCCAATACTTTGGCCACCTGATGGGAAGAATTGACTCATTGGAAAAGACCCTGATGCTGGGAAAGATTGAAGGTGGGAGGAGAAGGGGATGACAGAGGATGAGGTCATTGGATGGCATCACTGACTCAATGGACATGAGTTTGAGTAAACTTTGGGAGTTGGTGATGGACAGGGAGGCCTGGCATGCTGCAGTCCATGGGGTCACAAAGAGTTGGACATGACTAAGTGACTGAACTGAACTGATGCAAGAACACTATATCAACTGTGAAGCAGGCTTGCCCTCCAGCAACAAAGAACAACAAAAAGGAACACAAGAACAACAAGCTGAAATCTGATCAAGTTTCTAAATTAACTACTGACAAAGACTCTCTCCTTGACCAAACTTCAGACAGGTTCCTGTGAGCCCTTTATCCATGGAGACTCTTTCTTGGGTCCCGATAATGGCCTAGCTAGCCCAGTTACTGCCAAGAATCCTGCTAAGTCATCCTTCCATCCTTGATATCTGATCAAGTTTTTTCCCTTCACCTTTATATCTAATCATCTTGTTCTTGTTAAATCACTAAATCCTGCCCAACTCTTTTGCGGCCCCATGGATTATATAGCCCTCCAGGCTCTTCTGTCCATGGGATTTCCCAGGCAAGAATACTGGAGTGGATTGCCATTTCCTCTCCAGGGGATCTTCCTGACCCAGGAATCAAACCTGTGTCTCCTGCACTGGCAGATGGATTCTTATCCTCTGAGCCACCCAGAAAGCCCATCTGATCTACGTGGCCTATCTTTATTAAAAATTCTCGTCAAGAATACCCACACCCTCGATTTCTCCTCTCAGTAACTTCCCACCTCCTGACATGCTCAACTCTGCTCCTTGACTATAAATCCCACTTGTCCTGGTTGTATTTGTAGTTGAGCTCAGCTCTATACTGAAAGCTCTTTTCCCTATTGCAAATGTAGTGAATAAAATGTGCTTTTACCACCTTTAATGTGCAATTCTGTTTCTCTTTGACACTACCAATTTACAGAAAATACATTACTACACCAAGGGAATACAATTACTGAAATCCAGTATGTGAAAATCTCTCAGAGTCAACTGACTTAGCCTCTTGAATAGAAAGAGAGAGAAAGATGAAGAGAAAAATTCACAAATTTTAAAAAGAAAATTCAATGGCATGTCAACACAATATACAATATCTGGTGAATCATATTTGAATTTTGATTCAAACCAATGGCTCACCAACACCCCCCAACCCCCACACACATTTTAGACAATTTTCAATTTGAGCACTGACTAGGTATTTAAAGATACTAAGACATTATTTCTTTTTATAGTTGTTTTATATTTGCTTTTGTGTGACCATAGTATTACAATTATATTATATATAATATTATCTATTATAATTATATTAAACAAAGAGACCCTATCTTTCAGAGATGCATAGAAACATTTACAGGTGATACAATGTCTTGGATTTGCATCAAACTAAAATGACAGCAGAGAAAAGTGTGGGTGGAGTAGGGTTACAGATGATGATGAATCAAGACTGGCCTGAAGTTAAGATCACTGATGAAAAGTTAGAGAATAAAAAAAATAAAATAAAGAAAAGTTAGAGAATAAACAAAAGAGGTTTCATGTTATTATGCAACTCTAATATGTTTGAGATTTCCATAGCGATGATGATAATGACTAAAGCAGACTAAAAACCACCCACTATATAACATCTCATAAGTTCATTTAAAAAAAAGAGAAAACAAAGTAAAACCAAGCAAATTAACCAAAATCCTAAAACCTCACCTTCCAAGAATGAAACTATTATTCTGCAAATTAGTACACAAGCACTTATCCTGCCTTTTCTCCATAGACTACATTTAAAGCAAACAGCAAACAAATGTAAAAGTTAAGAATAAAAGAATTAGAAATGCCACTATCTTGCAACCATGATGAAGGACTACTAAAATCATTTGGTTCAAGTTTCCTGAGGAATTTTGTAACTGTTGAATTAGACTAACAACTTAACTTACTATAACCATCTTAGTGTGACAAGAAGTGGGACAACCAGACAATAAGACTTCTGATCTGAGAGAAATGAACACATGTAGAACCAGCTAATTCTAAAATGAAGCTCTTTAGGTATAATCAACAGTTTATAGAAGATATGCGAGACAGAGGAAACACGTAATCAGTCAGATTCAGAATATGGAAATTCCATAGGAAAAATCACCCAATTTCAACAAATAAATAACACAGAAAGAAAAAAAAGGCTAGTAGAAAGAACAGAAACTATTTCAGGTTAAAATATATGAATCCTGTTTTGATCCAAGTTTGAATAAACCAACTACTGAAAACAACAAAACAACAGAAACACAGCTGTAAAAAGATGCTTTGAGACAGTATGATCAGTCTGCACATGGACTGGCCAGTAGATGGCATTAATGAACTATCATCAACTTTTGTCGGGTGTGATGATGTTTAAAAGGAAAATTTTCTGTTAAGAGTCACTACTACAGAAATGACTGAAAGGACAGGATGTCTGAGAGTTACATTAAAAAATTCTAGCAACTGGAGGAGGAAGAGGAGTTGGTGGTGACAGAAATGATAAGACAGAATTGGTAAAATCTGCTGAGGTCTGGTGGTTGGTCACCTTATATCAATACTACCCCTTTCGTTTAAGTTTGAAAGTTTTCATAATAAAAAGTCAAAATTAAAAAAAAAATGGGTATACAAGTTGAAGTGTGTAATTCAAACAGCATTTACCCGTGAAAATCTAAAAATGTGCAGAGATAGCAGTCTGCCAGAGCAACCATGTTAAAATTTTTTAGGTTTTCATGATGGCCTTCTAAAGTCCATTTGACATAATAGTGCTTCTCAAACAGGCGTTCTGATATTCTGAGTGAATCAATTCTTGTGGAATAGGAACAATCTTGCACACTGCAGGATATTTAGACACTCAATGCTAACATTACTCGCTCTAGTCACTGACAGCAAAAGGAAACTTCCATTTCTCCTAATGCCTCTGGGGAACAGTGAGGAACCAATTCTGGTTGAGAACCACTTCGCTACACTAGGTATTGACCATTTTTAATTAGAGAAACAAAAAAGACAATAAAGCAGCAATAATAATTGAATATGACTTTTTCAGATAAAGTGAAGACCAAAAAAATACTTTAAAAGAATGAACTGGCTACTGAAAAAAAATTTTAATTTAAAAAATAGTTGAATTAGTCTTACTAATTCACATTGGGAGTTAAGGGAAAAAAGAAAACAAGGATACATACGGTCAGCATTTTTCAGTGACTGCTTTTTTTTGGAAGGTTTGGAGATGACTTTTATCCGCTTGCTTAGGAACACACCAATGTCATCACTGTTGCCATAGAACATCTTTACAGACAGCATGAAGTGCTTTCTCTTGTCTGAATCAGATATATACAATGTTTTGGCTGTGCAATAGTTCTGTGAAAGAAAAGGATAAGTCTTAATAGCATCAAAACCCTGTCAGCTATGTACAAATAACTCAGTAAGGCTATGGCTAAGTTTGATCAGACTTAAGGCAGCAATTCCACTGAACAGCTGATAAAACCACTGTAAAAAGTACTAAAATTGATCTCTGAAAACAAAGTACAAAGTCTTCCTTATTGAGTCTACAAAATACCAACATTGTGTTGTTTCCCCCTCTCAAAAAGACTTTAAAAAAATAATCTTTTATTGTTTTATATAGTTCTACATCTATTTACAGAACTATCAAGACCTTCAGGCAATAAAACCATTTGCCTTGAAATGAAAAAGAAATACAAAATATAATGCTACAAAAGTCTATAGAAATATCTGAATTGTAGAATTTGAATTATATAAACAAAACAATACTAGCAACAGAGGTATAGGGCATGTAATTATTAAAAATAAAAATTCAAGTGCTAATTAGGGTAAAAATTCATGTTGCATAGCTTACCTAGCTTCAACTATGTAAGACAAAAACTGACAAAATGAATATTTAACAAATTAAAAACATCAGATCCAAAATATAACTATACAGTCAAATACCATGACCGTAATAAAAATAAGAGCTACATATACTAGAACTTTGTTGTAATAAATATTAAAATAAGAAAGGAACATGCAAAATAAATCCCAATAATGCAAAATAAAATCCCTCCTTTCCCAATAATGACTAATGGCACCACTCAATGAACACGCTATTGAAAGAAAACAATATTACTTTAAACGAATGGCTGTTTAGTGAGACAGGAGTAAAGTGCACTTTCTGAAGCTCAGCATCCATCCCAGTGCTTGGTCCATCTGTGCCTACTTGGAACCAAACTGACCTCGCTCTTGTATCTTGATGGTCCAAGCACATGATTATATTGTACTTTCTGCCTGGAATGCCTTCTGCTGACTCTCAACCAATCTTATTCTCTATAGACTCCTCTGAGAGCATTTTTCATTAAAACTAAATATTAACACATAATTTTGGCTTAGAGACACTGTACTTCCCTGTAATTAAGTGTTTTAAAGTACTAGTTAATGCTCAAGCTCTCAGGTATTATTTTCTGCAAATTTCTAGGGCTTGGGGAAAGGATATAATGGCAAAAGTTGATGAAAGATGTACTAAAAGCCATGATGCTGAGAAGAGCAAGTGGGCATGCTGTTTGGTATTACTGCCCTCAGAACTGCTAGAAGCAGTTAAAGCTCTCAATCAAGTTTAATTGCTGTTGTTTAGTTGCTAAGTCGTGTCCAATTCTTTTGCAAGCCTATGGACTGTAGCCTGCCAGGCCCCTCTGTCCATGGGATTTCCCAAACAAGAATACTGGAGTAGGTTGCCATTTCCTTCTCCAGGGGATCTACCAAACCCAGGGGCTGAATCCACATCTCTCATGTCTCTTGCATTGGCAGGCAGATTCTTCACCACTGTGTCACCTATGAAATGGCTGGGCTTCTCACTATCTAATTATCAATCACAGTTACAAATGTCGAGGTGTACAGCTTGGAGACATACATAACAAAAATACATGAGACATGACCAAGGCCTTTTTGTTCAACTAACTACTCAAATATATCTTTAACTTTGGCTCAAGAGTTATAACTCAGATATATTTTATATTGCTCTATTTTAAAATGAAACAATCTTTACAGTAGTAAATTTTCTCTCAAACCTAACTTAAAATACATAGCCTTGACAAGCCTTAATGATAACAATTATAAGAATATAAATGACAGAAACACAGATTTGAAGGAGACTGATAAAGCTCCTTATTCTCAGTGCTTATTATCTGTAAAATGACTCATTATCTGTAAAATCACTAAAAAGATTAAATGAGTACAAATCCCCTAGTTGACCACCCTCAACCTTGCCCTCCAATTCTCATCCCTAGTGTCAACTACAATATAGCAAACACTAAGACATTCAACAAATAGTTATTGAGTGAGAAAATAGCTATTTATGCAGTATTTTAAAAGACATTCATGTGGTCATTGAAATCAGAAATAATAACCATTTTTCAATTTTAATAGCAAGAGAAAAATTGATGCTAAGTCAATAAAGAATTATTTTTGAGTACTAAAGGTACAGACTAAGATTAACTGCTTTCTAAATTCATAATATACAATTAGTAAAACTAACTCATAAACTGCATTCCTTAGCAAAGTAATCAAAGAAAATCCCTAAAAGCTTGACGAAAGCTATTCACAGTGTTCCTGTCTATACAAGATAGTCCTCTTCCACACTGAAGCTAAATAAAACATTTATGATCTTTACAACTTAATATATTGCTTCCAGTAAAAGACTAAGATTAAATGAGGAGAGTAAAACATTAGTGAACTATGTATCTTCATTGTTATTTGACTATGATGCCCTTATAAGATGGATGGGCAATTAGCCCCCTAAATTTATTATTGGCCCCCAATAAAAATATGATTCACAGCCTGCTAAAACTGCTAGCAAGCTGAGGAAGCTTCCTGTGTGCCACCTTTAGACGTCAAAGCTCAAGCTTCACAAATCATGACTAGATCTCAGCTATTTGAGGTTATTCCAGTTCTGATTTATATATTCAAGAAAGTGCTACCAGTAACCATAAAATGGGGGGGGGGGGGGGGAAACCCCCCCAAAAAAAAAAAAAAAAAAAAAAGACCATCTCCTATATTTACATGACGTCATGGGGCAGGGAGACCTGAATNGGGGGGGGGGGGGGGGGGGGAATCACCACTACACAAACAAGTAAGAAAACTACATTATGGTATCATGATGCTCTTTACCGGGAACCAGCATAGTCTTAACTTACCTTTCCTTCCAAGTTCAGTTGCTGCATTTCTTGGTCACTATTTCCTATTCCAATAAATGCACATGGCTGAGACTCTTGTTCAGAACAACCATCGCGTTCCATTTGTTCTTTTTTTTTCTTCCATCCACTGCCCATAAGATACACACAAGGAGGAGGGCAAAAAAACCTAAAACAATGAGGGGGGAGGAAACACAATGCAATTACACTCAAGAAAGCACTTCCTTTTCTTGAACATACGAATACAAAATCATGTTGAACTACATCAAGTTAGCTCCTAAAGAAACATTTTGGTCAAGCTTTTTGTAATGCAAATAACCATACCCAGAGCGCAGAAATCAATACTTCCATTTGTTCTGGTTAAGGTTCATCTATTTTGACATTATGCATTCACTTAGCCTAGATACTTTCAGATCAGGAAACATAAATTTTCACACAGCTCAGAGTTTTGAACATCTGCACTTAGAAAATCCACTGTACTCCAACATATACAAAAATAGGGTATAACACCACAGAATCTGCAATTACTGCTTAGAGTCTACTCAAAATGATGTACTGTTAATTAATGACATCTTTGGTGCGGATATCACTCTTAACTTCACTTGGTAACTGATCTGGAAAACACAGCAGTGCCCAAAGTAGACACTTCCAAAATATTAACACAAGCAAGTAAAATAATTAAAAGCAAAATGGATCATTAGTTTACCATATATCTTACAACCTAAACACCTGCTGCATGTGGATCAAAGAACAATATATTATGTTCTTTTAACTCAAAGACAGCCAACAGATTTGTTAGTTGCCAATAACCTGCCCTCACAAATTCTTCCCACCTAGAATAACTTCCTTATAATTTTCTCGTAGCAGTTAGATTACTTCGAAGTCTAGCTCAAGCCCCACATTTTACCTAATTCAGAAGACCATAAATCCAGTTCTTATATAGGGGGTAACTCCTTCGCTCGATTACACACACTGACTTATACACACTTTAAAACATTTATTAATATGTCATGTCTCATCTAGGGGCCTGAAAACTCAAATACCGGCCAGGTAGGTAATCTAAATGAGTGGACCGGGTGTACAATAAATAAGTAGAAATATTCTTTAATTACCCAAAGACGTATGTTCCTTCCCATCTTTATTGAAACAGAAAACCCTCAAGGCAATTCCCACTTTTTATATAATTATAAGCATAGAAATTTCTATCTTAGTTCTTTTAAGTTCACTGTAAGGAAAAAAAAAGGCTTAACTGCAAAGATCATCACCCACTAGTGTGTGGCTCTGATGACAAGGAAGCAACTGAGAACTTCAAGCATTCCCATATGGCTGAACTAAGGGCGTGGAGATCGCGTGTTGGTCACATCCTCCAATTTTCCAATAGTCACCTGAAATCAAGTTTTGTATGAAATTCCTAATTCTAAAATTTAGCAGCTAATTTATTATGCTTTTTTACCACTTTTTAGGCCAACAATGCACAGACTTTAAAAAAAAAAAGAAGTGTATCCATGCATATCACACATACACACGTGTGTGCACGCACAGAGAGACACAGACACTATCGTGCTGGACTTAGTTCTCGGTCTTCCCTAAAGGTAGCAGAGTAGTATCTACTTGTTTGCTTCCCCCTCAGCACCTACTACAATATTAACTGAATTGAATCAAAATAAACAATGGCATCCACATTTTGCTCCACTCTACCAAATTAGTACTTAAGAGGTAATCTACACACAATTTATAAGAAGTGAGCTGGGTTTATTTAATTTTCACTAATTCACAAAAATTTACTACATTCCTAGTCTGTACCAGGCACTGGAAAAATATTAGTAGTTAAACAAAAATCCTTGTCCTAATGGAACTCATACTCCAATAAGAAAGACAATTTTTAAAATGTAGGTGACTAAAATAACATATATACTTTAGCTGGTTAGGGGAAAAAATAAAGCAAGGAAGGGGTACTTAAAAATGTAAAAGACCAGACTGGCCAAGGAAAATTTCTTAAAGAAAGTGACCTTGAGTTAGGACCTAAAGCCACGGGTATCTGGGGAAGCGCATTTCAGAAGAGGGAACAGCAATCACAAAAGCTCTGAAGCAGGGAGGACCGAAAGAGACAGCAGAGAAGCAACAGGCCAGCGTGGCTGGAGCACAGAGGAGGAGAACCACAGCTATGAAGCCAGGGGTGCTGGGGAAGCAGACCTGGCAGCCTGAAGGGGTTAGGCTGAGTGAGGAGGAAAACCTGCTGAGGGTCTTCTCATGCTTTTCTGAATGAAGAGAAGGGGATCAGAGCGGCTTTTTTGCCTGGATACTCTCCTTGTGGCCATGAGCACAGAGGTCACAGCGGGGGCACTGGGCTCAGCTCCAGGTCACTCCAAATTTGGAGGGATGCCTAGATTAGCTGGGCAAGTTCTGGAATTTGCTCATTCAAGTCTATACCAGGGATCTCTCTGGCCTCTAATGCTGGGAACCACCCAATACTTACCATGGCACAGACTCAAATTCCTAGCTGGCACACTACTAGGAAGCTGAGAAGCCATCAATTTTGGAAAACTTATCTCCTATTAGTATTTTATTGAGCACTGACAAATAACTAGGTCTCCTTAGTAAAGTGGTATACCAGCTATAAAACTTGCTGCGTTTAGTGTAGTGTACCAAATATAGTAATCAAATCCCAACAAATTATCACAGAAGATACTTTAATTTCACATCTGGAAAGAAGTCTAAAACTGTTAAAGACTCAGTGAAAGTGAAAAAGAAAATGAAAGTCGCTCAGTCGTGTCCAACTCGTGTGACCCCATAGACTATACAGTCCACGGAATTCTCCAGGCCAGAATACTGGAGTGGGTAGCTGTTCCCTTCTCAAGGGGATCTTCCCAACCCAGGGATGGAACCCAGGTCCCCCACACTGCAGGCGGATTCTTTACCAGCTGAGCCAAGAAAAAAGCCCAAACGACTCAGCAGTGCAGGTTTTCTCAAAAGTACTGCGATGAAGTGGTATGAAATCAACAGGGCATAAAATCAGAAAGACTGTCAAGAAATTCTTTATCACTTACAACACTGACTAAGGTTCTATACTGAAAGTGCCTTCCAGTCATGTAATAAATCTAAGAAAAATGAAGAGTCTTCAACCGTCTCTAAACTAGTGTTAGTTTTATATCAACTCAACAACTACTTCAAAAAAAAGCTGTGATGCAAGAAAGTAGCAAATCCAATATAAACATTAAGATTATCTCATTTCTATGTGATGATGAAATCATATTTTAAACATCCCAATATTGCCACCCCCTAAAAAATCAGCTAATGAATCAAATCTTCATTTCCAGAGACTTCTGCAGTAATATAATAATCAAACAAAAGATAATCATCAATTAAAAAATTACAGACAAATGGAAAGAAATTAAAGGAAGGAAGAGAAGGAAAGAATATCACCTAATTAATGAAGAAAAATTTAACTATATACCTTTATAGTAGTATGTGAATCGATGTTTTTAACTTGGACAGATGGTTAATGTGTACCAAACAATTAGTGAGAAGTCTGAAATCAAGTGGTCAGCTTTGGGAGTTTAACAGTTGCTATGAAAGCACATTTTATGAAACAATGTGCCTTTATTTTCTCATCTTTCCCAGGAGCTCCATCTAAGCAACTTAGGCACACAATGCTTTTATCTACCACTTGGTGGCGATATGCACACATTTATGATTTTATTCATTTCCTAAGTCAAACAATCAGTCTTTATTTTCAGAGAATGATTCAACAACTTTTCCCTCAAATCATAAGATGAGGTCTGGAAAATACCTTACAGATTCAAAGAAGTCTTTTTATTCAGCCCAATACATAATATTAGACAAAATCTAAACACATCATTTACATTATCTGACTATTTTGGCAGAATCATTACCCCTGATGATTATTCATACTTCCCCTAACACAAAGTTGAAGAAATGCTAATACATCAAATGGCATTTCCATATCTTTAATGGAAATTTTCCTCTAGACAAAATAATTTTTAAAGTTTATTTTTCAATCTTGTAAAGAACGTCTTCATGAAAGGTTAAAACTAACCACTAACATAAGTGGGATACCAAATGTATTAAGCAAAGAAATATTCCTTATTAGGCACAAAAGTGAATTCTCAGAACAATTTAAATTTTAGGATAAAACTTCCTGCTCAAATATTTCTAGCATCATTCACTGGAATTATTTTGTAAGCCAAGAAGACTGTGGTCATGTCCCCAGGTTACCTCATGCCTAAACTTAGCAGCTTTTCAGAAAGGCCTGAATCTGATCAACAAGAAAGAAAGCAGATCTTCCTCTTTCTACTACACTCTACCAAGCAGTAAGGGACAAGATCTCTTCCAGTAAGAAGCCCTGACAATCACCCAGGAGACTGGCCTCTGTTAGCAGCCCCTGACTACTAACTAATACTTTTTAAAAATCAGTAATTTTTAGAAGATTTTGCCCTTACTGTAAAACTAATGCCATGTCTCTTCTGGAAATGTTAATAACACAGTAAATATAAGAAAGTAGTTACTCTGGCTTTTATTTTTTTTTTATCTTTTCATTTTTTGGAGTCAGAAGCTTAGATTGCTTGATCTTTCCTTTCACTGAGGTTTTTAGATCCACTAAGCAATACCCAAATAATAGAAATTGAAAATAAATGCAACCATAATAAAAGATAATCACCTATTTTAACTTGTAAGCCACTATAGCTTTATATTTTTAACAGTGACTAGCAAACAGGAATCTTGTCTGGGACTTTGAGAAGCTCTTCCCTGTTTGTATCTCCACCAGGTCTCAGTTACCCACTTCAGTATTGAATGACATAGCAACTTTTAAAACTCTTGGCTTAAAGAGCCTTTTGCATAGTACTTGGAATCTAACAGGTTGTCAGAAATAAAGAGTTAATAAATGAGTCAAAATGTACTAAAATGGATCTTCAAAAATCCATGGGTGGGGAGAGGGAAAACAACACTGCCCAGGTGAGCAGCTATATAATGAGCTTGTTAAATTATTCCTATTTTCACTGTTGTTGTTCAGTCACTAAGTCACGTCCGACTCTGCAACCCCATGGACTGCAGCACACCAGGCTCCTCTGTATTTCACTATCTCTTGGCATTTGCTCAAATTCACGTCCATTGAGTCGGTGATGCCACCCTCTGTCAACCCCTTCTTCTCCTGCCCTCAATCTTTCCCAGCATCAGTCTTTTCCTATGAGTCAGGCGGCCAGAGTACTGGAGCTTGACCGTTAGCATCAACCCTTCCAATGAACATTCAGGACTGATTTCCTATAGGACTGACTGTTTTGATCTCCTTGCAGCCCAAGGGACTCTCAAGAGGCTTCTCCAGTATCACAATACAAAAGAATCAATTCGGCACTCAGCCTTTTTTATGGTCCAACTCTCAGAATATGCTGGCTGTCTAGGTTTGTCACAGCTTTTCTTCCAAGGAACAAGCATCTTTTAATTTTATGGTTGCAATCAGTCTGCAGTGATTTTGGAACCCAAGAAAATAAAATCTGTCACCACTTCCACTTTTTCCCCTTCTATTTCCCATCAAGTGATAGGACCAGATGTCATGATCTCAGTTTTTTAATACTAAGATTCAAGCCCGTTTTTTCACTCTCCTCTTTCACCTTCATCAAGAGGCTCTTTAGTTCCTCTTTACTTTTTGCCATTACCGTGATATCATCTGCATATGTGAAGTTGTTGATATTTCTCCTGACAATCTTGATTCCAGCTTGTGAGTCATCAAGCCCAGCATTTCGCATGATGTACTCTGCATAAAAGTTAAATAACCAGGATGACAATATACAGCTTTGACATACTCCTTTCCCAATTTTGAACCAGTCCGTTATCCCATGTCCAGTTCTAACTGTTGCTTCTTGATTCACACACAGGTTTCTCAAGAGACAGGTTAAGGTGGTCTGGTAATCCCATCTCCTTAAGAATTTTCCAGTTTGTTGTGATCCACACAGTCAAAGGTTTTAGCATAGTCAATAAAGCAGAAGCAGATGTTTTTCTGGAACTTCCTTGCTTTCTCCACAATCCAACAAATATTGGCAATTTATCTCTGGTTCCTTTGCCTCTTTGGAACACAGCTTGTACATCTAGACGTTCTCGGTTCACGTAGTGCTGAAGCCTAGCTTGAAGGATTTTGAGCATAACCTTGCTATATAGCATGTGCAATGAGAGCAACTGTATGATAGTTTTGAGCATTCTTTGGCATTGCCCTTCTATGAGACTGGAATGAAAACTCATCTTTTCCAGTCCTGTGGCCACTGCTGAGTTTTCCAAATTTGCTGACATACTGAGGACAACCCTTTAAAAGATGTTCTTTTCGGATTTTAAACAGCTCAGCTTCATTCCATCAGCTCCACCTCTAGCTTTGTTCACAACAATGCTTCCTAAGATCCACTTAACTTCATACTCTAGGATGTCCAATGCTAGGTGAATGACCACATCCTTGTGGCTATCCAGGTCATTAAGACCTTTTTTGTATGGTTCTTCTGTGTATTCTCATCACCTCTTCTTAATCTCTTTTGCTTCTGATAGGTCCTTACTATTTCCGTCCTTTAATATGCCCATCCTTGCATGAAATGCTCCCTTGATATCTCCAATTTTCTTGAAGGATCTCTAGTATTTTCTATTCTATCATCTACGATCCCATTGTCTCTGATCTTTTGTTTCCTCACTAATGCATTTCTATTTACAAGATTCTTCTAAGGATTAAAACTTTAAAACATCTGTTAAGACATTTCCTGAACAATGTCTATAGATCATGACTGGATAAAGGGAAGCTGTTCCTCCTTCAGTCTCACTATGAGGTGCAACACTGGCCTTGAGATCCATCTCAAGTAACGAAGGTACTAACTTAGTTTGTTTTGCTTAGGAATTAAAAAAAAAAAAAAAAAAAGACCATCTCCTATATTTACATGACGTCATGGGGCAGGGAGACCTGAATATCCAGTATCAACTTCATGCAAAAAAGGGCCATTATCTTGATTTGGTTTCTATGTCCCAAACCATAGGTACCAACTTCTTCTAATATTTGAATCAGATGATTAAGTTTCATGAGTAATCAGAAATTTAGAGAACTTGAATAACTAAAAAAGAACACTTGACAATATGAGTCCTAAATACTGTTTTCAGCTCTCCTCCTCTTTGATGATAACATTATCAACTAAATAGTTTCAGCTCAGATTTAGAGGACGTTGAGAAACAGACTATTTAAAATTTTTTTAGCACATTAAATCAATGTACTCCATTTCCTTTCTCTTATGCATATGCTAAGATTTCCTTTATCTCACAAACTCACAAAGATTTTGGGGACTCACAAAGACTCGACTCATTCCTTTCAATCCAATATTTAAACCTGAGTTTTCATTCCTTCTTCCAGTTCAGTTTTATTACCTTTCGAGCCAACCCAAAAAATCTTTCATGTTCCTCCATAAGCAGCCTTGTCCACCAAAGCATGTTATTTTATGCTTAACATAAAAATGCTATCTGAAAGAAAAAGACTTGAGAAACTATTAACAGGAAAATTCTAGGAACTAAGTGAAAAAGCAAGTAACACCAAAAATGTTGAAATTTAAAAGATACTAAGGTAAACAGTAAATATTAAAATGTTATAATCTAATTTTGGCTAATCTGATTTATAGGTCATTTCTGTAATGCCACATTCACATGGTATGAGCACCAACTCCACTCTGCTGTTTTTCCCTTAACCTGAACAGGCACACAGCCACGGTGGAAAGGGCTGGGAGTACTTTTCTTCACAACCACTCCATAATTCAATTCTGGGGTTTGGTTAAGCCTTTTTCTTTTTAAAATGATAATACTGAGGTCATATTTCTTTATAAAACTACATTTTGCACCAAAACGAAAATTACTTTTTGAATGATCTAATGTACCACAGAAGTACTTAGGGAACACCACGCAGTCCTGAATAAAAATTATGGATTATTTCATTTTGTGAAATCAGGGATTTAGCCAGAGGATCTGTACTAAATAGAGACAGTAGAGACAAATCCTGTACTTTTCACTTTGTATTTGCAAATAACCCAATAATAGAACCATTCTCTTACTTGCATACCAATACATCATTTGCAAATTCATGTGATAACTATTAATTAACTATCCACCAGAAAAAATAATCTTACCTTTTTTCATTTCCATATGACTTCTGTGCAACTTTTGCATGAAGAATAAGCACTGTTTGATCCCCTCGCTCTTTTAAATAATTTCGCATAGCTTCCCTAAAATAAAATATAAATATTTACTATTATAGGGGTAAGATTTGGAATATTACTATGTTCTGTAAAAAGAATGCTTAAAAACATTTCAAACAAGTAAATCTAAAAATGAAAATAAAGCAAAAAAACCATAACTAAATTTTAAAAATATTATACAATGAAGAAATAAATACTGCTCATCTTCAACAGTATACTTTGTTCTCTGAAAAGAAGAAACTGTCCCTCACTATAGGAATTTATGATATAACTCAATTAAACCACAATTAAAATTTATAGAGTAACTAGAAACATCAAGTACATTGATTATTAGGCTTTAAACCCTTTGTAAAATTAATCATGTGCAATACTTTTGTATTTAATAATGTAATTCACCACTAAGACTAGCCCTTCTCCTCCAGCTATTAGAATGAGTGTTTTTCACCAAATACAAAACCATAAGAAATCCTCAGGTCATCCAAATTTATTATTACATGTTCTTAAAATAACAACCCTACAAAAGGAGGAAGAAAGGGCTATCATTTATATACAAACTCATAATTACTCTCAACGATGTTACTAAACACAAAGTTTAATAAAGGGTAATTCAAATTAGGGAAAAACAAATTTCGGAAAAATACAATGTTAACTGTTTCAGGTATAAAGTACTCCAACTATCCATTTATTACGCAAATGCTGTATAAAAAGTTCAATGTCTTAAAAATATTTATCAATTATTTTGCCAAGCAATACAATAGAATACAAAGAACCCAAGGTCTACACAGATCAAACTTTCACATATCTTAATCAGTAGAATCCTAATTCTTAAGACGTTTAACACATTACAAAATTAAAAACACATTACAAAATTAAAGCAAAAGGGCTTCAAAAACAATCATCAAGAAGCACTTTTAATAAACTGAATACTGTTTTATTTGTAAGTAAAAAGACAAATGTACAAGAGGATGGCTATAGATGAATGAAAAGTGAAGTGAAAGAGTTAGTTGCCCACTTGTGTCTGAATCTGTGCTACCCCATGGAGCGCCAGGCTCCTCTGTCCTTGGAATTCTCCAGGCAAGAGTACTGGAGTGGGTTGCCATTTCCTTCTCCAGGGGATCTTCGCAACTCCGGGACTGAAGGTGGGTCTCCCGCACTGCAGGCAGACTCCTTCGGGGCTGAACCACTAGGGATGCCTGTAGAACAGCAGTGAGTTACCAAACACTTATCTCTTAACCTCATCTAGCTTGGTTTCTGTATCCGGTAATAAGAATAATGCTGACATCATAATAGAGTGGTTGTGGGTAAATGAGATAATCTAGATGACAGTGTTTATATTTACTAATTCAAGGCAGAAAAGGTAACACTGGAATCTAATAAATTAAGAATTAATCCTTACCACAGGAACAAAGCTCAAAGTCCAGTAAAGACAGTAAAACACTTGGAAAACAAATTGTAATGAAATACATAGGTCAAATAGAGGTATGACCAAAAAGTTCCAATAGGGAGTACCTATGTAAAGGAGGGCAGAGGTAATAAAGGACCCTGAATCGATCCCTGGTCCGGAAGATCCCGCTGTGCTGCGGAGCGACCAGGCGCATGCGCCACAACTACTGCAACCTCGCTCTAGGGCCCTTGAGCCACAACCATTGACACGTGCTGCAAGCACTGAAGCCTATGTGCCCTGAGACCGTGGTCCCCAACAAGAGAAGCCGCGGTAAAGAGAAGCCTGTGCACTGCGATGAAGAGTCCCCACTTGCCGCGGCTAGAGAGAAAAGCATGTGCAGCAACAAAGACCCAGCACAGCCAAAAATAAACCTTAAAAAAAAAATTAAATACTAAATATAAAAGTTAATTCAAATACCACCCTATGACAGATGATGATAAAAGCAGTAGCAGGTAATAAAATTCTTAAAACACCTAGAAAAAAACTTAAAATCTTAAAAAAAAAATTCCATCTCTTTGAAACTGGGGACAGATCGTTATTTAATTTTATCCCAAAGTGAAAGTGTTAGTTGCTCAGTCCTGTTCAACTCTTTGAAACCCCATGGACTGCAGCCCACTAGGCTACACTGTCCATGGAATTTTCCAGGCAAGAATACTGGAATGGGTTGCCATTTCCTTCTCCAGGGGATCTTCCCAACCCAGGGATAGAACTTGGGTCTCCCACATTGCAGGCAGATTTTTTACCATCTGAGCCACCGAACCCCATTACCAAAAAAACACCATGCTGTGATTTCCCTGGTGGTCCAGTGGCTAAGACTCTGCAACCCCAAAGGAGGGGGTCGGAGTTTGATCCCTGGTCACAGAATTAGATCCAACATGCTGCAACTAAGACTTTGCATGCAGGCAACTTAAAAAAAGATCCCACATGCAGTAATGAAGATTGAAGATCTCACAAGGTAAAACTAAAGAAATAAAATCAATCAAAATAAAAGCGCCATGCTGTGGAATCTGGATTTTCAATGAACACAAAAGGCAACCTGAGATCTTGAGGTTTGTTTGTTTTTTTTTTAAAGACGTACAGTCAACTTTCTTTTTTAGTTAATTCTAGTGGTGAAATAGGGAAAGGACTTAAGAAAGCACAGAGGAAACTTGAAATAAGGCTGACACACTAAGACAGAGGTAACAGAAGACAGTACAGGAGAAGACAACTTTTAAGACTTCTGTCTCAGGAAAGGCAAGTGTATAATAAGTTCCATTATATTTGACAAACGTCAACTCTGAAATGCCCCAAAACTCCAAGCTGGAAGTATTCAATATGTTGTTGGAAATAACCACCTGTAGTTCCAGAGAAGTGTCTGGGCTGGAAAAGTGGGGTTCAGTGGAATATAGCTCACATCCAAAGACATGGAGGTGAACAAAATCTCTCAGAAAGAAAACACAGTGATAGGAATGTCAAGAAGAAAACGTATAAAAGGAAATGAAGAAGAACCAGTAAGGGTAGAACTGAAACTGTCTATTAGATGCTAAGGCAGAAGACAACCTCAAAAGAAGGTTACAATCAAGAGTGAGATGCTGCAGAGGTGCAAGTCTCTTTAATTTTTACCAAGAAGTCAGCCACCAGCTAACAGCCTTACCAATTTCTGTAAAATGAGAGCCTTCTGTGATGCCTAACAGGTAAGAAGGCGGCCACAGGTACTACTGATATTTGAAAATACTCTCTAGAGAATGGAGAAAGAAGCTGACAATGTAAATGATTGAAAATCTGTATTGAAGGACTGGTTGATGTTGAAATTCATAAATGACAGTGACAATTCCCGCTAACATTCCAAGGGAATACAGCACATTCTCAAACCTGCTGGGTGTGGCGTGGAGAGGATAAGGATAGTGCAGCATCTGAGGGGCTACTAAGTCACGTGATGACCAGTGTGCAAGGGGGATAAGGAAACAAAAGCCAAGCCAGAAGGTCAATATCGACAAAACTGACACAGAAGTCCAGTCACTGGCATAAAATGTGAATAGTTGCAATATACTTGAAAATAATTTTTTAAGAAACAATTTCAAATATATCTCCCCACACTGAATTCTACTTGCATTATAGTCCCTGTTATATCATTTCGTAATTACTTAGCGTGTCAGATGTCAGGGCTTTCTCCTTGTCATCCCAAACAGTATGCAAAGCCTCTAAGACACACTATTAGGCACATTTTAGAAATGGAGGAACAGTTAAGTAACTTTCCAACATGACACTGAAGCCTCCAGATTCAAACTTAGGCAGTCTGGCCCTTGAAGACAAAATCAATATTATTAGATATTTTGCACTGGTTATGAGCCCAGTTTTGGTATGAAACAGGGGTCTGAATCTTAACTCTTATCAATTACTAAGCCTGAGTTTTCTCACCTGTTTAAAAAAAATGACATTAACAGCTCACATTGTGAAAGATATTTTAAATTAAGTATCCCCACAAACTGACAAATATCAAGGGTCAGGAAACACTACCTATTATTATTATTTTCTTAGAAGAGCAGGAGGAAGGGGGCAGGAGGTAGAGGCTGGAAGACTGCCACTTAAGTGTGACGGAAAACTTGAAAAGGACCAGGAGGTAAAATCAGGTGTTTCACACGACTTGCAAGGCACGAGTTCTGCAAGCATAACAGGTAAGCTACACTTTTATCCATCTTCCCATTAAAGATTTATTGAGAGCCCATTACCTCCCAGGCACTGGTTATCATGCTAGCTGCTCGTATTGGAAGTAACTGTTCACAATAGCATCATGACAAGAGTACAGATCTCAACATATTTATGATGAATGCAAGACAGCACCAGATTTCCTTGTCTTTTCCCTTCATATTTACAATACAAATTCTTGAAAAAGCAACTGAAAACTTTAATAATAGTTGTTCTGTAACAACAATTTAACAAATAGCTTTTTCAACAAGAAAAACACCAGTTTGTTAATAGAATATCAAACACTAAAATTATGTTCTCTGGCAATTGTAGGTTGATAGTTCTATTTTGAAATCTTAAAGAGCCATTATAAAAAATTAAGGCAATATACTCAAACACAATTAAAAAGTAAAGCCCATGAAGTGATAGCCCATATGCTCTTCACTCAAACAGAGTAGAGTTTCTTCAAATGAACAGGGTTTCAATTTAGGCACTGTTGACATCCTGGGTTAAACAATTCTCTATTGTGAGGGGGCTGTGCAGTACATTGGAGGGTGTTTAGCAGTATCTCTAACTTCTACCAATTAGAAGCCAATAGCACCTTTCCTCCATTTGTGACAACCAAAAATGTCTCCAGATATTGCCAAATATCAGAGGGGTGGGGCAATTCACCTGGCCTGAAAAAAAGTGGATTAAAGAAAACCAAAATTGTTCCTTCCAACAGGAAGATGAGAAAATCATCCAATGTCTTTTGAAGAAAGAATGAGGGAAATTTTATCATTTGAAAACAATATAGGTGCTCTAAGAACCTTACCAGTAGAATAACTACTTTGTATTACTGGAATTAGTTAAAAAAAAAAAAAAACAGTAACAATAAAGCTGAAACTCATAATCTGTTATAACAGTTACTATTTAACAAGTTCTGGTTTATGTATTCTTTATTTCATTCCATAATTCCTTATAAAATATTCATTCTGAATGGAAGCCAATTAAAAATTATTTGAAGAGCATGGAGCAACTATTTTTGAGTTTACTTACTTAAAACACATTTAGCTTAAATATTTAGAAAAGCAGAAATTTTTATCAATATTTTTACTAACATGAAATCATGGCAAATGCCGATATAATTTGACATGGTTAAACTATCATTTTGTCAACCTTCCGACTCTTTTTTCCTTTACAAATGTGTACTTCTTTTATATCGTGCAAAATTCGAAAAAGAATGTCCTTAATGGTGCTAACTCCTAATCATCTGAAAATAGCACCCTTACTTCCTCACCATATTCAGTTAAGCCGCCATGACTGCGCCAAAGGGTGCGTAAGTGATTTAAACCACACGCATGCACGTACGTGTGTGTGTGTGTGTGTGTGTGTGTGTGTGTGTGTGTCTGTGTGTGTATGGGTTGGGGGCTGGGGACTCTGGGGAAGGCATTTGAGCTGGGAACTAACCAGAGCCAATCCCAAATACTCAAGGAGAAAAGCAGCCCACCAAGATGGAAGGTCTAAACTGTCATCCTTACCAATGGGATCAGTCTCTGCACTCCGCAAATTGGATTTTTGTCACTTGTAAAATCCAAATAATAAAGGTTCCAACATGAACTGTCTGCTGGTAAAGAAACGTATTTTTGTTGCATTAAGTAATTCCACACATACACCCAACACCTGCAAACATTTCAGAGAGCTGCAGAGTACATTTTGAGAAAAACTGGGAGGCCTGGCATGCTGCAGTCCATGGGGTCGCAAAGAGTCGGACATGACTGAGCAACTGAACTGAACTGACTACAGGCCACAGAAAGCCACGCCAGTTGTTTCTGTATCTCAGTATAAAACCTGGTTATTCTGCGTTTTTAATCCACAGTTAAGTAAAGTCAGTTATACCTGTGATCCACATTAAGGGGATATTTTCAAGAGACTGGGATGCCCTTGAAAGTTAGCATTCAATTCCTACCATATCTACTCATCTATATATCCAGAAGAATGTAGTATTTTTAAAAAGTGAAATGCTGAACAGTACATAGTATTAACTATACTTAATCAAAAATATTAACTCTGTATCAGTAAAACGGTACTTTTAGAACACTATCTAAAAGATCATTCTCTAAATAACAACATACTTTTTAAACTACTGCTTAACTTGGAAGACAGGGATTAGAATAGGGTAGGTTTAAAAGATTAAAAGATTATTTAAAGAAAGAAATTCTGAATTAAACTGTCCAACTTCCATACACTCCCAGAGATACAAAATTCCTTATCATTCTGCATGAAGGATTTCTTTAGCACTTCTTACAGTTCAGGCCTGTTTATGATTGATTCCTTTTCAGTTTCTTATGTCGAAAACTGTCTTTGTTTTTGCCTTTGCTGGGTCTAGAATTCTAGGTTGCCATATTTTTCCCCCTTGAGAACTTTAACACTCTTGTTCCACTGTCCTTTTCTTCCTAGCAAGGTTTCAGATGGACCTGTGACGTAAGTTATATTTTCCCAACCCACTTGATCTGAAATATGCCTTAAAAATATTTTTAAATTTTAAATTTCAGACATAAAGTTACAAAAGTAGTACAAACAATTCCTAGTCTCCATTTCCCTCAGACTAGCAAATGTTAACATTTTACCATATTTGTATATTATGCTTTTAAAACCATTTAAGAGCATGTTATAGACATAAAACCACTTTACCCAAAATACTTGTGTTTACTGCCAAAAAACATTGTCTTATACAATCACAATGCAATTATGACTGATACAATACTTCCACAATAGATTTTTATTCAGATGTTTCCAACTGTCCCTCTAATATTCTTTACTGGGGGGTGGAAGTGTGAAGCAGTGTTGAGAAACTTTGAACTCAGGCCAAATCAGGATAGTCTCCATTTTGTCTGTTATTTTAATTAAGCTGAGCTGGAACATGGACACACCACTCATTTACATATTGTCTATGGCTGATTTGGGGACACAAGAACAGAGCTGAAAAGTCACAACAAACTCAGTGAGACCCAAAGAGCCTAACACTTTATTCAATCCATTAGAGAAAATGTTTGGCAACTCCATCCATAGAGCAAAAGAAAAATTTGTTCCTGGTCCAGTTTAGTTAAGTCTGTCATGTGTAGCCTAGCTGTTGTGACCTTTGGGGTTCCTTTACTCTGGTACTCTGCAGTCTTTATTTTTCATAATCTTAAACACTTTGAAGAGTAAATGCTGTTTACTTTATAGGATGTCCTTCCATCTATGGCTGGCTGACGGTTTCCTTAAGCTGAGATTTCAGCTTATGCATTTTTGGCAAGAATCACACAAAAGTTATACTGTGATTCTTCATGATGCATGTGGAATTTATTTGTCCATTATTGGTGATGTTAATTTAGAACATTTAATTAAGGTGGCGTCTGACAGATTTCCTCACTGTCATGTTACTGTTGTTGTCTTTATAGTTAACACATATTTTGTGAGATATGCTTGTACACTATAAAAAAGCCTGTTTCTCATCAGACTTTAAACCAGTAGTTTAAACATTCACTGATGACGTTAGCATGAAATGATGATCACTGTAGTGGTTGCCAATGTGTGGTTTCCTAGTTTCATCATTTCTTCTACATTTATTAGGTGGAATTCTTCTGTAAAGGGAAGCTATCTCCTTTCCTCTATTTATTTAATTATTTAACTCAGTGTAGACTTCTAAACTGTCATTTTATTTTATGGGTTTTAATCTACTATTGTCATTATTTATTTTGATGACCAAAGTGTCCATGATTTGGCTAAAAGAAGCCTCCTCAAACTAGCTCCCTTTGTGCATCCTTCTGGCACGTCTCCATCATTCTTTGAGTGAAACAGCTTTTTTAATAATGGCAACAATGTGGAAATGACCCAAATGGCCATCTGTGTGAAGTAAATAAAGACTGGTGGGAAGACAATGAAAAATTATGAAGACGCTAGAGAGAGCAAGGTAGAAGATCTACAGTTAACAGAACAATGGTAGAGTATGATGCTAGACTTTAAAAAGAAAAAAAAAAAGACAAGTCTCTGTTTACACATGCATATACTTTTCTTGAAAGATATTAACAAAGCAGGGTAGCATTAACTCCAGGACTACAGCTGTGGAACTGAGCATCTTACTTTTTATTTTCTAATCACTGACTATCAGAAATTTTTTAAAGTATTTTCAAGACTAACACTTTTAAATTTAATGTGTAATTAAAATGCACACTGTAAAAATTATATAATTAGAACAGTATAATATTTATAGTCTCATTAAAATGTATAAAATCTGTTCTAAAATTCTTTCTAAAAGCATTTAAGTATCTTTCAAGTCCCAGCTATAATCAACAAACTGTGATTGGCTAATGAAACTAGATAAAGGAAACCATCTTTATGCTGTAGTCCTTGTTACATTAACTATATAACACTCAATATTAACTCTTGAAAGGTTTCATTTTCCCTTTGAACTGTATCATCTTATCTTGCTTTATGTAGGAGAGAAAAGGGGGTGATACAAGGAAGGAAGATGGAAATAGGCTTATGATCTAGATACCATTATGTGAGTAACTTCTTTTCAATAAAACCTAACAGCTTCCAAAATGACAGGATCTAACACTTTCATAAAATGTTTGGGTAAAAGACTAATATAATGCTTACCTAGTGAGTCGTTTAGGTGGAGGCCGCTCACCAAATTTTCTAGAAGAAATAAGAAAAAAAAAAATTAAATAGGCTATATGACACACTCCACAGTATTTTAGACACCACGAAACCTCCTTTATGACTTATACCTCAACCCTACTAAGTTCAGCTCAGTCCAGTCGCTCAGTCGTGTCCGACTCTTTGTGACCCCATGAATCGCAGCACACCAGGCCTCCCTGTCCATCACCAACTCCCGGAGTTCATTCAAACTCATGCCCATCGAGTTGGTGATGCCATCCAGCCATCTCATCCTCTGTCGTCCCCTTCTCCTCCTGCCCCCCAATCCCTCCCAGCATCAGGGTCTTTTCCAATGAGTCAGCTCTTCACATCAGGTGGCCAAAGTACTGGAGTTTCAGCTTCAGCATCAGTCCTTGCAATGAATACCCAGGACTGATCTCCTTTAGGATGGACTGGTTGGATCTCCTTGCCGTCCAAGGGACTCTCAAGAGTCTTCTCCAACGCCACAGTTCAAAAGCATCAATTTATCGGTGCTCAGCTTTCTTCACAGTCCAACTCTCACATGCATACATGACCACTGGAAAAACCATAGCCTTGACCAGACGGACCTTTGTTGGCAAAGTGATGTCTCTGCTTTTGAATATGCTATCTAGGTTGGTCATAACTTTCCTTCCAAGGAGTAAGCATCTTTTAATTTCATGGCTGCAATCACCATCTGCAGTGATTTTGGAGCCCAAAAAAATGAAGTCTGACACTGTTTCCACTGTCTCCCCATCTATTTTCCCAGAAGTGATGGGACCAGATGCCATGATCTTAGTTTTCTGAATGTTAAGCTTTAAGCCAACTTTTTCACTCTCCTCTTTCACTTTCATCAAGAGGCTTTTTAGTTCATCTTCACTCTCTGCCATAACGGTTGTGTCACCTCCACATCTGAGGTTATTGATATTTCTCCCGGCAGTCTTGATTCCAGCTTGTGCTTCTTCCAGCCCAGTGTTTCTCATGATGTACTCTGCATATAAGTTAAATAAGCAGGGTGACAGTATACAGCCTTGACGTACTCCTTTTGCTATTTGGAACCAGTCTGTTGTTTCATGTCCAGTTCTAACTGTTGCTTCCTGACCTACTAAAGACCACTGTAAAAAGAAATCCTCCAGTAAACACCAACACTCAGTAGTAACAAAATACAGACTTTAAAACTGTTTCTAAACAACAGACCCTAGGGAGGCCTGACACATCCACATGCTGAGTGTGTTACACTGATTAGATGAGGATAGCAGGTACTTCCCAGAGACACCTTGCTAAAACATCTAACAAAAGACGATCTTCTAGTCTCACATAATCTGTAGCACTCAAAAAATCCCTCACAGCCCACAGGGGTGTGGATCTCACAGATGCTTACCATGCGGCAAGCATTATGTTATACCTTTTGTTAACCCTTTTCAACCATTATAAAATAATTCTGTAAGGCACATACCGACCCATTTTAAAGATGCAGAAAGCAACTTGCCCAATATCACAAAGTAAACTAAGTGGTAGGCAGAGTTAAGATTTAAGCCCAGATGTTGACTAATTAATTAGTTCATAACATGTGGCCCTTCAAAAAGAAATATGCTAAATATTCTAGCATAGAACCACTGAAAGACAGTAACACTGTCTGTGAGAGGACACAGAGAAAAGCACGAGCAAGGATGAGCACAATTTAGGCTGGGATTAGAATACGGCATGGGTGGTAGGAGAGGCTCCGAGAGTGAGATTAGCTGAGTGCAGATCTATGATTTAGTGTGTATTTCCCACGCAGCCCTGAAGTCTTCTGCCTCTCTAGTTCAGTTTCCGTCCTCATCTGCAAAACTGACAAAAGTGGCTGTCCTGACCTCAAGGAGCTGCTGAAGGATCAAAGTGCTAACTAATATGTAGAAGACACAGAACACCTGGAACGCCTGGAATTATTAATTATTAGTAAATGTCAGTAATTATTACTGTTTTCTAGTTGTTAAAGTTAAGTCAAAATAACTGAAGATATCGTGTGATATTAATAAAGATAAACAAGTATAAGAGGAAGAAGAAACTAATCCTTATGTGATGGCCTCCTGGCTCTTCTGAAATAAAAAATGAGGTCTTCTGAAAGCCATGTCAGAGGTACACAGCACTTGAAGAAAAAGATCAATAGAATTTTTCTTTCTTTTTAAAGCCACACTGCAGTTATAAATAGGTTAAGTGACTTGTTCATAACCAGTTATAGGTTTGAGAAGCCTAATTTGGATTTAAGAGTTCTCTACTGTATTTGTGGTATTTCACAATTATTAACTTGATGAGAAAGCCTTAAAATCCCATGTAGTTCATTCTGTTGAATAATTTAATGTTCTATGACACTGTTTATGAACTTGGTGTATAAAAAATTGCCATCAGTGACTTTGAATATTTTGGTATTTCAGTTAACCCTAAAATACTGAAAAGTGGCTTTAATTGAAACAGCACCCCAAAATGAGTCAATAATCCCAAGTTTTGTCAGGAGGATCAATAGTAAGTAAGCCTCTTTGATTTCTATCCTACAGGATAGCCCATCTTAAAGGCATGGTTTATCAGCAACAGCAACAAAGCTGCTCAAGGCACAGCCTTAAAGCACTGACTACTGGCTAATCTACGGTGTGAATTCCAATTATGGAATGAAAGGCAAAAATCTACTCCTGAAACTTTCCACAGGGAAGATTTTTTTTTTTTTTTTTACATTTTTGAGACTGATTAAATTTACCATTGCAGCATATGATTAAAATTAAAAAGTGCCTCACGAGGTGGGATTCAGTGTATTTTACAAAGCCCAAAAAGTTTAAGACAATCTTTAAATTACTTCTTGCATATATATATTTAAGAACAGAGTCACACTTCATAAAGAGAAGCAAAGACTGTAGAGAGAATCTAAGAGCTTAAAATGGTGAAAATTTTAGAGAGACACAGCTAAGAAATGAGATGAAACTTTTCAGTTAGAATCATGAGACTACTAACCATATTAGCTAATAACTCCAACCATCACACATCCTTTGGAATCTAACACATAATTTAACATAGGTCTATTATATGACCAGTAAGATCCACTGCTCTCAAAATTCAAAAACAAATTTTTGTTTTCTGGTACTCTGAAATGCTTTAAAAATCAGATTAAATCAACTGAATGTTGATTCAAATATCTGTCTACATTCTTTTTTGGAACTACCCATTAGATGAAGTCAACAATCATATGGTATGCTTGTGCAACATCACTCCTGCCCCCATATAAAACATGAAGGAGAGCTTTGCCTGTTGAGCTTGAACAGTATTTCAAAATGATGCACTGTTTTATCTGGGTGCTATCTGAAGGTTAGAAATCTTATAAATGATAGTAAGATTAAATCACTTCTTCAGTGTATAATAAAGCATCTCCAGCAAGTGTCTGTAAACTCAATCCTCTCTTTAATGCATAAGCCATCAGACTTCTACCGTTCTCATTAAACCTAATGGTTACTGTATCTAATAGAATGGGAGAAGGGTAATAAAATGGGTCTCCTGAAGATAGAAAGCCTAGAGATAAACCCACGCACCTATGGGTACCTTACTTTGGACAAAGGAGGCAAGAATATACAATGTGACAACGACAGTCTCTTCAGTAAGTGATGCTGGAAAAACTGGACAGCTGCATGTAAAAGAATGAAATTAGAACACTTCCTAACACCATATGCAAAGACAAACACAAATGGATTAAAGACGTCAATGAAAGACAAGAAACTATAAAGTCTTTAGAGGAAAACAGGCAGAACACTAGATGACATAAAATCACAGCAAGACCCTCTATGACCCACCTCCCAGAATAATGGAAATAAATATAAATAAATAAACAAGTGAGACCTAATTAAAGTTAAATGCTTTTGCACAGCAAAGCAAACTATAAACAAAGTGAAAAGACAACCCTCAGAATGGAGAAAATAATAGCAAATGAAACAACTGACAAAGAATTAATATCCAAAAATATACAAGCAGTTCATACAACTCAATACCAGAAAAACAACCCAATCAAAAAGTGGGCAAAAGACCTAAACAGATATTTCTCCAAAGGAGACATACAGATGGCTAATAAATACATGGAAAGATGCTCAGCATTGCTCATTAGAGAAATACAAATCAAAACTACAGTGAGATATCACCTCACAAGGGTCAGAATGGCCATCATCAAAAAATCTACATACAATAAATGTTGGATAGGGTGTGGGGAAAAGGGAACCCTTTTGCACTGTTGGTGGGAATGTAAATTGATACAGTCACTATGGAAATTCCTTTAAAAACTAGGAATAAAACCACCATATGACCCAGTAATCCCACAACTAGGCATATAACCTGAGTGAAAAAGACACGTGTACCCCGATGTTCCCTGCAGCACTATTTACAATAGCTAGGACATGGAAGCAACCCAGATGTCTGTTGACAGATGAATGGAGAAAGAAGCTGTGGTACACATATAGAATGGAATATACTCAGCCATAAAAAGGAATGCATTTGAGTCAGGTCTAATGAGATAGATGAACCTAGAGCCTCTTATACAAAATGAAAGTCAGAAAGAGAAAAATAAGCATCATGTATCAACACATAAATATGGAATCCAGAAAGATGGTACTTATGAAACTATTAGCAGGGCAGCAATGGAGACACAGAGAACAGACTTATGTGGACACAGGCAGTGGGGGCAGGAAGGAGAGGGTGGGATGTGTGGACAGAGTAACACAGAAACATATATATTATCGTATGTAAAATAGACAGCCAATTGGAACTTGCTGTGTGACTCTGGGAACTCAAACTAGGGCTCTGTAAAAACCTAGAGGGGTGGAATGCAGAGAGAGGTGGCAGAAAGGTTCAAGAGAGAGAAAGGCATATATAGGTATACCTGTGGCTGATTTATGCTGATGTATGGCAGAAACCAACACAATATATTTTAGAGCAATTATCTTTCAACTAAGTAAATTTAATTATTAAAAATAAAAGTTTTCTGAGAAAATTCATAAAAGTGTTCAGTAGGT